TTTCTGGGGGAACTTATCGGTTTGGTTATCAATATGTGGGATGCGTAACACTTATCACCAAACTACCGCCGCTCATCAGGTTCCAGACTAATCGTGCAGGTTGTATTTGTACGCCTCGATGAGGCCCTCGACGGAATGGATGAAGCCAGAGATGCTGCATATACCCCCGATCACGAATATGGCGACGTCGAAGAAGACCTGATGCCACAAGAGCTTTCTCCACAACAACTTGAGATGAAATAAGCTGGGGAGGAGAAAGCACAGACCCGCGCCCGTCAGGCTTCCCGTCAGACCCATGAGGAGCGCGAAGTGCGGCACATAGATAGCCATGAGCATAGTGAACACCACTAGTGCACAGCGGAGCGAAAGCCCCCACGATTTGAGACGCCCGTCGCCCCCGTAGCAATCCGGGAAAAACGCACGCCCTCCTTCTTGGAAGAAAGACTTTTCCAGGACGTCCACGGCGGCGAAGAACGGCAGCGGGTACGAAAGCAGCGCCTTGGACACCAAGAAGATGTTAACAATGGCTCTGATGCTGGATGGTAGGTTGTCGGTGATCACCTCCTTGGTCTCGTCGGCCCACGTCAGATAAGCCACCAAGGCGAACAGGCCTTTGAGGATGCAGGCAGCGATGTGAGTCCAGTTCATCATGCAGTGGAACTCGCTGGGCTTCTGCATGTTCCCCTCCAGCGATGGCAGGAAGATCTGCGAGGTGTAGCTGAAGACGATGATGCCGATGGAGATGGGGAACTTCTTGACATCGATGTAGAACTTCACCTTGTCCCAGGCCCAGTCTCGCGCCCTGGACAGACAGTATGCGATCACTAGGACGTTGATGATGAAGTGCGCGATGGTGCAGAGCAAGCTGAACTTGGACACGGCTTTGAGGTTCTTGAGGAAGGCGCAAGGCAGAAGAGCGGCGGTGGCGATGATGGCCCAAGACCTCTGGGACACGGGGAGGTTGGGGAAGCTGTTGTACATCAGGTTTCCGCTCACCACGACGTATAAAATGCAGGTCATCACCAACTCAATGATCTGGGCTACGTTGACGACGTGGCCTCCCAGTGAGGGGAAGCGCGGCGCGCAGCACGCATTGGCAATATCCACATACGAGTCTCTCACTCGTACCAACTGGCCATCTTCGTTTTCTTCGTAGAGGCAAGCGATGAGGATTTTCCCCGTGTAGCAGCACACGACCGCGGCGAATATAATGAGGAACAGTCCGAGATATCCTCCGTGGAGAATGGCGTAGGGTAACCCGAGAACAAACATGCCCTGGGGAGATAAGCAGAGCATGGCTTTATACAACAGAACGC